CCTGACCAGGGCCCGACTGGGACGGCAGCTTTGCTTCCATAGTTCATGTTGCTGAAAAAATGACTCAACAGTAACATGGGTCGGCTTCCTGCGGAGGAGCTCAGACTTTCACTGACCTCTGAACCCCGGAGGGTCAGTGGATTACAGCTGAGCAGAGTGGTGACCTTGCCTGAAGTCACAAAGCCAGGTGGCGAGAGTCAGGGAAACATGTTCAATCCCCTCTCTGCCTCTGGGGGTCGATCCCCTAGTCAGCTCACCGTTTTCTTTTCAGTAGAGACGGAGGCAACAGTCACAGCCGAGCCCAGGTTTCGCCCGAGCAGGGCAGTGCAGAGAAAGGGAGTTCGGAGCTGAGTCTGCAAAGCGGCGGGTGTGCAGGGAGCCTGGGCTCCGTCTCAGTGCTGAGTAACTGTGGGCAGTGACAGCATCTCTGAGCCCAGGCTCTCTCAGCCCCAGGACAGGAGCACAGCACTGGGAGCCTGTTCTCAACGTGCAACTCAGCTGCATCCCAGGCAACGTCTTAGAAACAGCGAGGGAGGTCCCTGCAGACCTGCGGGGCCGAACTGCCTTCAGGGAGGTCCCCTGTGACTCTAAACACATTTACATCTGAGAAGCTCAGGTGTGTACAGCAGTCACATCCCCCTGGCCAGTTCTGGGCGATAGATGTTAAGGGCAATTAGCACTTAAAAGAGACCAAGACACAGACTGAGGCTCTTATGAGGAAACACCCAGAAACTGAATAACTTGCTCCGGGTCACACAGTGGCATCAGGATTCAATCCCAAGACTCGGGGCCTTCTGTCCCCAGGGCCCGTCTTACTGAAGTCCTAACTCCCCACAAGGTACCATGCTCACTCAGATGTCCTAAGAAGCAACATCCTCATGTTATTTTAAAAGAATACGCTGGTCACCATGCACCTCTCCTGTCAAGGCTCAGACTGTGGGCTTCTGGGTGGCTGTCTGCTGCCAGCTGCTGCCTTAGAAAAGACACCTTAGAACACACCTCATAAACTTACACTCCCTTTCACCCATTCCACCTTCCCCATGGGGAACCCAAGTGGAGAAACACGACAGGGTATCAAGGAAGAGGCATCTTTTTGACTTCCACCTCCGCCACCTGGCCTAAGAGCCAACCCCTGTGCAGGCTTCCCAGGCTGGAGTCCGGCCATGGGGCCATGGTTCTGGGTCCCCTAGAAATTACAAGGAAGAATGGCAAGTAGCAGGGAAGCTGGGGGGCCCAAACGCAGAGGCCACACGGGGCCTGTGGAAAAATCCACACACGGTGGCTGTGAGCATTAAATGTGATCAATGTCAAGCTTCCAGCCCCGGGCAAAGCGACTGTGTCATCGTCCCATGGACACGTCTGTGCCAGGCCTGGGCACAGGAAATTTCCTGTGTCGTCTTTCAAAGTTCGGAAGTCCAAGCAATAATTGGGATCGGTTTTACGAGTGTCCAGGTGGAAGTAACAAAAAGCAAGGCTTTTAAGATTTCAGAGGGGATAATTCTGAAAGCTTATATACCCATAACAAACCGGGTACATGAAATCTCAGGTTCAAAAAAGAGACAGATTTCAGATACACTGAGGCAAGGAGCTCCCCATTTCCTTTTGTAGGGAACCAGCTGGGGATCTTGTTAAAATGCAGAGTTGGTCTCAAGTAATCTCAGTGGAAACGGAGAGTTCACATTTCTGAGAGCTCAAAGAGCCCACACTTTTGAGCAGCAAGGTTTAAATAGCAAGGAACAAATGCAAGGAGAGCATAATTGGATTTTAAAAAGACATGCCAGGGAACCTCCAAGAAGGCGTACAGGGAACCAGCCAGCCTCGCAGGGTTTCTTAAAGGAAGGCACACCAGGAAAGCAAAGGGCATCCTTTCTTCAAGTGCATTTGCAATCTACATCACTTTGTCTGGGCAGGTTAAAGGGCTCTTTAGGGATCGTAAAAGCAACATACTTCTGACAGAATCCTTGGAAGCAGCGCAGCACAGGGAACCAGGCATCCCAGGGAATTTCCACCCCAGCAGCTGTGGCCAGGCTAGCTCTCATGGCCTTCCTTACGTCAAGTTTTGCCCATTTACCTCCTCTCTGTACAATACATTTGATGCTGTTTCTGTGGACAACTGTAATTCCTTTTAATGTTCACCAAGTTGTCAGTTATAGAAAATCCCGAAGTAGTAAGATGAATGTGATTGTCAGGTAAGGAGGGACCTTACACTGACTAACCCATCTTAATGTGTGTGTGGTGGGGAAAGATCACACAGACAAGGGCCTCGCAGTGATAGGATCAGAGAAGAAATTCTAGCTCTTCTTTGGGTCAGAAGTACCAACACACAAGAGCCTCCATAGGCCCTTACGGGACATTCCTGAAGATCAAGCGTGAGGTCATCTGATCTCTGGCTGCTCTTCACACAAGAACACATCTGTCTACCAGGAGACACAGGCCTGCCTTGCACACTGGCTTGGAATACCATGGATGTTTATTGCAATTCCTGTCTTGACCTTCTGGACTAGCTGGGTTTATGCTCAAACTACAGACATTATGAGCCAGTGAGTGATGTCAGGCGGTAACACCCAGCTGCCCACAGAGAAGCTGCTGAGTGTGCACCACTGCCCAGAAGGGAAGGGATTTCCCTCCCACACTCACCCGCTAATGGGAGAGGTGAGTGCTGACAAGAAATGCCAGGGCCAGACCGTCCCCTGTGCCCAGACTTGATAATTCATCCGCACAGTCCCAGGCTGCTTCCCCGCTCCCTGCCCCTGCCTGCAGCCCTGGGAGCTCACCCTGAGCAGAGGCAGGACCTCACCCACTGGGAAGAAGGAGACTGGCAAACTCCTGGAGGAGTGCAGCTTGTCCCCTGGGGAGGAAGTGAGGTTTTCCAGCAGGCACCTTCTTACTGGCCAGAGCATGCCTGAGCTTCCAGCCCAGCATGACAGGAAGGTTCTCCCTCACCTCAGGCCTGCCACTGACAAGTTAGGTCCCATCCCAGAGAGCAACCCAGGCCCGCAGGAGGTCACACTAACCGAGCCCAGGTGGAGTCCGTGCTGTCACTAGCGGCCTGGGGGGCTGGACACTTTCTCGGGAACAGGCCAGCATTCCCAGCCCTCGGTCCTCTTCCAACCTCCAGTCCACTGCCTGGCAGTCTAACTCCCCACTGTTCCCTGAACACATGGTGACAACTCCAGCTACTTCCTGAGCAACAGCAAATGTCCAACATTTCATGTTTTTGCTAAGATGCTCAATACCTGCAGATAACAAGTTAGCAAGTAAAACATGCGTTTAAGCAACTCTAGCAAATTCATCTTGGAATGGAAAAAAGAAACCCAAGCCCCATTTCACCCCTGGCCTGGATCAAGGGAATGTAAGAAGGACTTGACATTTTTTGAGACAAGTAAAAGGAAAACGCCGTCTTCCTGAGACACAGGAACACTTGAGCGCAGGCAGGAATTTCTCAGGAGGGATTCACATGCGCCCTGAGCTGCCAGCGGACCCACTGCTCCACTGTGCGCCCCGCCAAGTCTCCCCGGCTGGAGAGAGCGCATCTCCGGGTCCGGAGGTTGGCGCCGCTTTTTAATGGGCTCCCGCAACTCCTAAGTCTGCACCCACTGCGTGGCCATGGTGCTTCTGCTCTGCGGGCTGCGCACACTCGTGTGAACACACGCCGGGGGGACTCTCCCACCTTCGCGTGCCCCGTGG